GATAGCTTGTGCTCAGGCAAATACTGGGATTTATGGGATGACTATAATCAAATGAATTGGATTCTAATAAGATAGAAAAAAATGTCACCCTCAGGCAAATTTAAGGCTCGAATCACCAGTGTCTTCTGATCATTTTTGAAGGGAGAATGCTTCAGGCAAAAGATATAAACTGACGGTAAGTGAGAAAAACAATACAGTGTATGAGGTCTCGAAATGCCTCATATAAATCTGTAGACTTATCAGGTAGTCAGTGCAACTATTTTACTGACATGGGTCACGTGCTGGCCTGTCAGGGAGAATTCCAGATGTCCTCCTCCAGATCCTCCTGATAAGAATTAGAAAAATAATTAACCATACCCATTTGGGTACATATGGTGACAATGAGGATCTTTATGTTTTAGAAATAAAGTGATAGGATTTTTTTCCAGTAGAGTAAGGTGTTCATTGGGTGATATTCTGCCTTTTCAAGACTTAGCATTAATTTGTTCAGGACAACAACATGTTGGTAATAATACTGGAATATTACTATCTTTTCGTGTTGTTTGAAAGAGACATTCAGTTCACTGATTTGTTTATAGAAAAATCTCATATCTCAGTTGAGATATATCTCTCTGACTCTTTCATGTAGTATTAGTAATTCCCAGAACTTCCTAGTGACCTTTTCCTATTTTATTTTCCGTCATGGCATTATCACCATCGGATGTAGTATCTATTTATTTATTTGAATGAGTTTTTTTCATATTTTCTTTCTCTCAGGTATCCATGTCAGATTCCAGTTGTGGTCTAAGAGGAAGTTTTTACTTTTTAATTTCTTTCTAATAACTTAGCTCAGGACAAGGTTGATTACAAAGAATTAAGAAAAAGCAGTATCCACTAGAAAGTAAGCTCCAGAAAGGCAAGGACTTTTTGTTGTGGTTATTCACCGCTCTAGTCCTGGAGCCTTGAATAGTCTCTGGAATTTAATAGGTGCTCAGTAAGTACTCACTAAATGAAAAAAATGGAGAAAACACTGCTAGTCTTACGGATTTGTCATGAGGATTAAACTAAAGGTTGTGTGCAAAAGTACCTAATACAGGAGGAGATGGAATCCAAAAACCCTGAAAGGACTGATGTGGCACCCAGAAATGCCAGACCTGACTTTAAGTGTATGAACGTCAGCCCTTAAATATTGATACTGATTAAATGCATGTTTCAAATAAATTTGACTTCTGAAAATTATATTCAGCATCCTCATTTTTATAGTGAATGACTTTTTTATAATGATGAGAAGCTCATTATGATTTTCATTAGCAATTTGCTTTATGTTTGGTTTATACAAGCTTCCCTCTTATAAAAGACGAAATAGTATCCTAAACATTTTACCAAACCATAGACAGAACTACTCATGATCTTTATTTGACTGGTGTCTTGGCACTGTTCATTTGATAAAGATGACACTTAAACTACTGAACGAATTTGTTGGCTTTTCTTTTCTTTTTTTTAAGTTAATATCAAGGAAGGCCAGAGACAGTGCTCCACTTAGAACTCTAAGCAAATGCAAATATTAACATCAGGACCTCTGCAGTGAGATTTTACAAGGATTAAAGAAAGGGAGTTACAAAGCATTAGACATCTGATATTAGTGTGTGTGATAGGCTGATAGCCTCTTTATTTTCTTGATCCTTTCTCCTCAAAAAGATGCATCTTAGAATCTAACTTTTCAAAATTGCATAGTAATTGCATTTATTAGGTGGACTGTAGTGTTTTATACTCTGTTCTTGTTGAAAGCATTGACATACAGGAGAAGCTCTGCCGTATTTCTTTACAAGATAGATGCTTTACATGCTGATGGTGACACTTCTTTCAGGCTATCAGGAGAGTCTAGCTTTTAGACCTAGCATTTTAAATATCTTGTGACTTGTTAAAGATGTCTATGTCAGATTCCAGTTATAGCTTAGGAAAAATTTTTATTTAGCAATCAAGGACAAATTTACCTTGAAAAGATATGGAGGGGGGGAAAGCAGTATCAAAGGCCTCTTCTCCCTCCAGAAATATTGCTTCTTCAGTGTTCTTCAGTTTGCTACTTTTTATCCAATATTAGTACATTCTTCAGTTGTTAAGTTTGGATTCGTTTTCAGCTAACAAAAGTGGAATGTTTCAAGGGGTGGTGAATTATGCCTCTACTCCACTTCCCAAGCCCCCTCCGCTCAGCTTTGATCTTATGGATCACATCTGGTCATGTCCATTGGGTTGAAGGGTCCTAAGAAGAGAGCATTGGTTCAGTAACTGCTTCCTTCCTGAGGCTGCTGTGATTTCTGGATTGTCTGGGCTTCTTTTGAAATTCTTATATGGCAGTTCTCTTGAACTTTCTTCCATAATTATCCTTCACACAAACTGTATTGGAGGGGTTGTGAAATGACATGTCTCTCTTTTACTCTGGGCCTTTTTTCTAAAATTAGTAAAATACACAGTCCTTGTATCTTTGGACCAATCAAGCCTCTGTTTTAATTCTATGTAGTTATTAATTTTGGTCCCTGCATATGCCCCAAATCAGGGTCTATACACAAATCCTTGTCCTTGAAAGTTTTATAGCCCCAGAGGAACAAAGATTAATCATAATTATGTTATCTTCCTGAAAATCTCAGACCATGCTTCCCTTTTAAGAGCACAGATGATTCCTGAAGCAACAGGAAACAAAGCTGAGAAGTTTCTGAGCATTGCCTTTTCTTTGCCATTGTCCGGGAAAGGGAGTATGGCTCTCCCAAGACTGTCCAAATCATTTTCCTATCAGGTGACTTAAGTAACAAATGTCCTTCTCGATTCTCATCTCTTTTCTTTCTTGGCAAATATGATTTCACCATTCAACTCCCCTTGCACACAATAACTCACGCCTTCCTTTGAGCTCCCGCCACCCTCCAGGTGGCTGTGCTGTCACATTTAACGCGTTGCAGTAAAATTTGGCACGAGCCTCTCCTCCACTGTAGACTCTGATCTTCTCCAGGTCAAGAGGCATGTATTATTCATCACTGATGAATAGCTTGGCAAATAGAATGCACATAGTTTTTGCTTAGTAGGTGTATGTTGAATGAATGAATAGCAGTCATGTAACATGAACATTGTAACATGTAGCAAGAACATTGACCATTGTATGACACAGTAACCATGTTGCTCTCATATTGGAAAGAGTTGTACTTCTCTTGAACTACTGTGTGTGTGTGTGTGCGTGTGTGCGTGTGCACGCACGTGCGCATGTCTCTGAAACATCTGCTGGAAAAAGCACACTGGAATGAATGTATAGCTGATTTTTAGCCAGTAGTATTTTGATACCCCGCTCCTGATGCAGTCTTAGTTTATTTTTTATTTGCCTCGTTTCTCTCATTTTTATTTTATATTATCTAGATTATATGTCTTTATAAACTACTTAAAACAATTTTAAGAACATTAGTTAAACTTTCGTATTTTATAGGAATAATAAGGAAGCATAAAGAGGGTCCAGTACCTCTTTGCTGAGGAGGAAAGTAGGGGAAAAAACACCCTGAAAATGCTATTTACTATTACCCAGGTATTGAAATAACATGATAGGCAGCTTATTTACAAAGTTGCCTCAGCTGCCAAAGAAAATGTCTTCCAAGGACAGTAACATAGCTGTGAAAATAACAGCTTAGTCATAACAAAGGAGACCACTGTGATGGCATGTGTTCCTTTACCCTTCAAAACAGCAACCATAGGGACACACATCCCTAAGCAGTTAGGCAATCTATATCCCAACATGAAGACTTCACCACACCTGTCCTTTCTGTGGTTTTAAACCTAGGATTTAGTGCAAACAATTTTGGGTTACCTCAGCAGTACCAATTGAAGATTTAAACATATATTTTTTAAAGATTTCACGTCTGTCTTAGCTTTCAAATGACTAAATATTGACCCAGAGCTTTAACATTTTTTTTAATTAATTTAAAAAGTTTAATTTTTTTATAATTGACTCACACTATATATTAGTTGCAGGAATACTGCGTAGTAATTCAATATTTTTATACATTACAAAATGATCACAATAACTGTAATAGCCATCTGCTACCATACAAAGTTATTACAATACTATTGCCTATATTTCCTATGCTGTACATTGCATCCTTGTGACTTGTTTATTGATATTTTATAACCGAAGTTTGTCCCATTTAATCCCCTTCCCCTACTTCACCCAGCCACTCCCCCTTCCTGGCATCTACCAGCTTGTTCTTTGTTTCTATGAGTCTGTTTCTGTTTTACTATGTTTGTTCGTTTGTTTTGTTTTTTAGATTCCCTATATAAGTAAAATCATATGGTATTTGTCTTTCTCTGTCTTATTTCTTTTAACATAATACCCTCTGGGTCCATTCATGTTGTCATAAATGGCAAGATTTCTTCTTTATAGCTGAGTAATATTCCATTGTGTGTGTGTGTGTGTGTGTGTGTGTGTGTGTGTGTATGTGTGTGTGTATGTATACACCACATCTTCTTTATCCGTTCATCTGTTGATGGATACTTAGGTTGCTTCCATATCTTAGCTATTGTAAATAATGCTTCAGTGAACTTTGGGGTGAATATATCTTTTTGAATTACTGTTTTCATTTTCTTGGGATAAATACCCAGAAGTGGAATTCTTGCTGGGTTATATGGTAGCACTATTTTTAATTTTTTGATTCAAGTCACTGCTATGGGTGTTAAAGGAAATGCTTGCTCTTCTGAGAAATGGTATTGGACCTTGGGTTAGAGGTGATGATGACTTTGTGGATAAGCTTGCTATAACAAAAAAGTCAGTGATATTAACCAAATACATGAAACAATCTGAGTATAGTTAAATGCCACATATAATTTCTATTCACAAGTTCACATTACAGTGTTTCAGCAAAGTAATGTAACCAATTCACATGCTAAAGTGAATGGTAACGGCTGTCCTTTATGGAGTCTTTACCACATGCTAGGCATTGTGCTAAGCACTTTAATCAAGTTAATCTAATTTCATTCTCTCTCTCTTTGAAGAAAGAGAGAATAAGAAATAAAGAAGAGAATACACTAGTATACCATCATGAAGGCAAGTTTTTCAAGACTTTAGCTGGCCCAGCTCTACATTTAAGAAGTTTGGCTACAATGAAAAAGTTAAGAATTTTAGCCAAAACAAAAAATCTTTACTGCATGTCAGATCATGATATTTTTTAATTAAAAGAAATTCAGAAAATTCATGAAGGAGATAGGCTTTTTTAAAGACAGGTTTTAGACTACTTGGGTTTTCCTCATACATTCATGATTATGCTCAGAAATTAATATTACTCTGCTGTTCCCATTTCATTTCACTGCCCTGAAATCCTGTTGTTGAAACTACAGGACTTGAAAATAACAGGAACATCCTGTTGTCAAAAATAAATTCCTTAGGATAAAGTATTAATTCAACTGAAGCCAATTTTTTTTTGGAGGGTGGGAAGTTCCTCAGTGGGAGGGGAGCTTATGAATGACAGAGTGCCATTCACTGCCCTTTCTTCATATCTTTGGATTCACTGGCCTTTTTTCATATCTTTGCTATATCTCTAACTAAATGAAATTTAGTCTTTTATATGAATATTTATATGTTGCAAAAACTTAATATGTGGTGTCATTAAAAACTTTCATGAGAGGGATAAGTAAGGTCTAAGCTGCTTGGGTCACTACTATTGAGTATTATATTCAGAAATATGCATGTTTATTGTTTCATTCTATGATTTATTTAGTAGTCCCCTAGCCCCTGGGAATTCATATGCAAGGTAAAATAAAACACTGGGGACACTTCCTAAAAAAGGAATTTTTAGATTATTTGCAGAATATGGCCCCTGAAAACATTGGGGTTATTTTTCTTGAGTCTGACTTATGCTTTGGACCCTCATTTGGAACACTGACTTAGGAGTTTAGACAGTCAGGTTCTGGGCAGGCCTCAGAAGTCCTTGGTTCTTGGGTTCTTCACCCATACAGCTAGAGGGAGGGTGGAATGACCTTTATTATTTCTTCTAGTTTTAAGATTCCATGAAGAAAAAATGCCTTCGTGAAAGGAGGAGGTACAGTTATCTTTCTGGTGGACGGGTCAGGTTGATGGGACGTTCACAATGTCTTGCTTTCTGATAGTCAACATTGGGCGTCCTTCAGCAGTCACCCAATCCAGACTGTGGGCTTCCCAGTGGCTTGAAACTCTCCCTCTTCTAGAAAACCATCAGCTAATTGGCCTTTTCCCTCCAGAACTGTTTGCCTTCTCCTTAGAGGACAGCAGGTAAGAAACCATCTGTTCAAATGCCTAGAGAAGCCCCTGAACCCAGCTCTGTCTCCTGCTGCTGACACTTCTGGACCAGGCCGGTTTGTCAGCCTGTGGCAGTGCAATAATGTTATGTTGGACTTCCTTGAGGGTTACCTACCTCTTTTTGAATGACCGACCCATAATTACCTTGACTTTTCAAGTTGGAACCAAGTTTCAACAACTAGTTTTGCAGAAACACAGATGAGTCATGTGGAAAAGCTGCAAAGGGAAAGTTTTCCTCTTTCCCCTCTTGCAGAGCCTCTGTGGACAAAGGCAGATCATCTTATTTGCATGACTAAATCACACGAAGTATCTGCTGATTGGCAAGGAATTACAGAGGGAAAAAGCTGATTATCAAATCCCACGTCTTCCATGAAGTCTTCCCTGACTACCCCAGTTTAAAGACTTTTCTATCATTAAACTCGTACCATTCAGCACTTTTCCCTAACAGATAAAAAAGGTGCTAGGTGTTCACACTTCCCTCTGTACTATTTGGTATCTTCTTTTTATTCAAATACAGCCAAGTCTTGTATAGACATAAGAGGATTTGGGGCTTAGTAATAGATGATATATATATAATCATTGTAAATATCTTTATTGAGCACCTACAGTGTTCTAGGCTCCCATCCAAGAGCTTTACATTCAGTTCTCACTCTGCTCTTATGAGGCAGATGCTGTTGTTCACTCCATTTTATTTTTTAGGAAACTGAGGTATAGAGAAGCTCAATACTGGCTCAGGTCACAGAGTCAGTAAAAGGTATACCTAGGATTGACTCAAGACAGTCTGCTTCCAGAGCCTTCATTCTTAACAGTACACTCTTTTTTTTGTAGGCAGTATTATCCTGATCCAGTAAGAAACTTTTTCCTACTCTGTCCTTCTTCCCGCACATAAATTGTCAATAGCAACATCATTTTCTTTTGAGAAAATTCTTTACATAAATCATAAAGGAAATCATTTTATATCTATGTATCTGGTATCTAGTGTAAGACTTTCCAACTTCGGACTTTCACATATTGCTTCTACATCTGTATGATCTAATCCTTAAGATTTCAAAACTTCAAGGAAAGTGAAATGTGTCATTTCCCATCAAAGCTGGGGATTCCCCATAGAGTGGACAGAATTTTGGCCTCCATTTGCTTCCAGTTTTACTTTCCTTTTCTGAAATTAATCCATAAACTCTATCTCCTTTCCCCCAGGTATTTTGGCCTGTATTTCTTAACCATTTAAGCATTTATTAGATATCCCTCACATGTTGGCAGTGTATTATGGGATTTTATAATGTTCTCTCATTGTTATATTGTATGTCTCTTGCCCCAAGACCCTTCAGGGAAGAAGTTATGCCTTTCACATTTGCTAAGTTTCCAGCTGTAACTGTAACAGTGCAGGAGGTATAAAAATACTCAATAAATATCCATTAATTGTAGTATCATAGGCCAGCTGTAACAACCACCCAGTATGAACATATTAAGGGTGTTTAGCTATCTTAAAACACATCTTTGATGTGCTAACCCATTACTCTGAAGACCAACATCCTAAAATATTTGTTCAATAAAAAATTTAGCACATCAGATTGAATTGAACTCAGCAACAGAGTGAGTATTGGAGTTGAGACATAACTATGTTTTCTACAACTTGACATAATGACCTTGAAATAATTGACGTTATCACCTCATCTACTTAACATTATCCTGTTCTCTCAATAGTTAAAAGTTAACACTGTTGTTTCCAGGATTAAAATTTTACAGAAAGCACAAGGAAGTGTATAGTGTATTTTAAACAGGGTATGACTAACTTCAATTAACAATTTCTTAGTGATTTTAAGTCAATATTTAGGAACATTACTTATTGCAATGTGTTATAAATGTTAATGTGAGTATAAATGATACAAGATGTGGGTATGACTGAGCATTCACTCCTACAGGGAATGCTCTAGGCATTTTTTTCTTGGAGTATCTGCAACTTTCACATAAAGCCAGAGAAATCTGTGGGCCTAATCTTCAGGACAGTGTAATGTGGCTACTGTTCAGTAGTATATAGTCGATTAAAAGTTAGATTATCCTTCTACCAAGTGATTTTGCCCTTTTGAAAAATGAGTACCATTGCTCTCAGGATTTTTTGCCACTTGAAACACCTATATCATTAATAGAGTGGCCACAGTGACATAGACATGCATAGACATGCACTTCTACCTTTCTCATAATTTCCATGGGCTCTAAATGAAACACTACAATGTGTTCTAAGACTGTTTGTGGAGGGAGCAGTACTCCAAAGTCTACAGAGTCTTAATCAGGAAAAGGAGAGAATATTTATGCTCTCATGAAACATAGCCCCTAACTTCTTCTAAACTATCCCTAAATGTTTTGAGTTTATTGAAATCACAGATTCAAAGCACAAAAAATAAAAAATTGTATCTCCAACATCAATCTAAGATCAGAAAGTATGGATACTTCATCATGCCTGTGTGATGAGGGATTACCTCACCTGAATCTGCTTTCCTGCTTTCCTCACTCTGTTGCTGAGTCCAGTTCAATCTGATGTGAATTTTTTATTGAACAAATATTTAAGGATGTTGGTCTTCAGAGTAATGGGTTAGCACATCAAAGATGTGTTTTAAGGTATCTAAACACCCTTAATATGTTCATACTGGGTGGTTGTTAGAGCTGGTCTATGATACTACAGTTAATGAGTATTTTCTGAGTATCGTTGTCCATAAGTACAATTGTGAATGAAGATGGGGGTGCAAAAAATAAATATTTCTTGGACTTTAATCTTGTATTCCCATGGTCACCTCTATCACCTTTTCAGATACAAGAAGGTGATAGGATTAGTCAGAAAAACACTTTTTAGCCATCCATTCAGAGACTTGGTAAGCAAGAGGTTAAGGAGGACACCTTTGAATGCTCTAGGACAATGACATTTTCCAGTACCTATCAATTTTGTTTTATGAGGACATAGAGCATTGTACATGCAAAAAGTAACGAGTCAGACCTTATTCTGATTAAATTCTGAAGGGGCTTGATTCACTGGAACCTACCTGGAGCGCAGTTGACAATCACTGTCCACTGGACCAATTTCAACAGTATCATCAAGTTGTTAAGGGGACAGACTGCTCAGACTTGAGTTTCTTGGAAAAAGAACAAAAAGAAAAGGTCATTTGGGGGTATCATGATTTTCAGACTGTTTTTTATCAATTCTTTCTATGCTGTTAATACTTTAAGTTTTTAATGAGCTAATTATGAACAACACAAGGCTGCATTTTAGTGTATGTAGTATATCTGACTACTTCAAAATTGTAGGCAGTTTAATATTCAGTGAATCAAAATATCTGCTCCTTTTGAAGTAGATGAAACAGTATTGCTTGGATATGTCCACATTTTTCTTAGCTCAATCTTTTCAAGTAATATAAGCATGTGGATACATTATAAATACTAAAATGTGAGACTGATTCTTATTCTTTGATCACTTGTCAGTGCATAGAAGTAGATAGCAATGATAACCATGGAGTAGATTTGAGCTCTAAAACTGGTAGACATGGCAGTGATATCGGCAGGAAATGAGGTGTAGTTGGACCTCAGAGGACCTGGAATTAAAATGCTGAAGACCAGACCACACTCTTCATCTCTTAGGGACCACAGAGCCTCACTTCTTGTTGTGGTGAACATCTCAATGCCCCTCCCAACCCTTGCCTCCCCCCGCCATTTTTCTGTCCATTTATACTCGATATTCGTTGTGTGTTTACTCCAAGATGGCTGTTTGCCCTGAACTTAGAATGGTTCTGGTGCCCACTACTAACTGGCAATTATCCATGTGAAATTCTCAAGACCAAAAAACTGATTGGCTCAGCTCAACGTTTAGAGCAGAGTCACCAAGTTATAAATCAGAGGCAAGCCAGAAGAATGTCTGTCTTTGGGTCAGGTATCCATCTCAGAGCTAGTCACCTGTATTTGGGTGATCTGTGGGTGGGATGTGAGGATAGAGGTATATGGAACACAGGCTCTTCCAGAACCCTTGAGCAGTGTCAGCAGTTATGGAACATGTCTATTGTGCCCACAACTATCAGAATCCTTATTCCTTCAAGGGTTGTTTAGATGCAGCTGATTATTTACCTGCCATCCACACCTGTCACAGCCCAGCACTCCCCTTCTTGTTTTGTTCCACCGGTCTGCAGATCGCTTGTGTCCTCTCTCACTTTATTTGCTTTCTCTCTCTCCTTTTCTGTAACGAGCATGTTCAGGTTGCGATTCACAGGCTTCTAAATGTGACAGGAGCTAATTGCCAGACTTCTAAATATGACACATCTCTGCTTCTCTAGCCCTTTTGCTTCCTGCTGCTTTTCCCTCTCTGGTTCTTCAGGCTGCTGTGACCACCATGTGCTGCAAAATCTCTGGGCCTAATTCTCCTTTTGGGGTTACACTTGGCTTCACTGCCAAATAGATGTAAAGATTAGTTAATTTTGTTAATTAGTTTAAGCTACTTTATGCCTCATGAGTGCGCTAGAAGAGTGCTTCTCCAACTTTTCAATGTGCACATGAAAAACGTGGGGATCTTGTTAAAATGTAGTTTCAGGAACTCTGTCATGGAGTGTGAGATTCTGCATGTATAGCAAACTCCCAGGTAGTGTTGATGTTGCTGATGAATTAACAATGCTTTGAATAGAAGATTAGATTGACTTATTGTAACTATGATCTTCTTGATGGGAAGGACCGTGCCTTAGGCATCTTCATCTGCCCTTCCATGGCCAGCACCGTACCTGATACGTGGTAGATATTCAAATGTTGCTTGGATTTTGAGTAAACTAAGCACACAGGAAATACAGGATTTTCTATGCCTACTTTTTAAAAAAGTGAGTGGTTTCAAAGACTGCTAAAAATCAGTGAAATAAATAAACATTTCTTAAGGGTCTGATTATGCAAAGGACTAGGAGAAATACTAAAAAAAATTACAGTCCAAGTCCTCAAGGAAACACTGTCCTACTAACTCTAATATGTCTTTGCTAGAATTGTGAAATAATTTTAGAATTGTAGGAGTAGCAGAATGAGCCTATTTATGCTATAGCATTTGATCTCATATACTTTGTGTCATTTTTCCATATGTACAATGAGGCTAAGGGGACTGTTGTGATATTTATGTGTGATAATACATGTAGGGATTGAGTTTCATGCCTGGCACACAGTAAATGATCACTGCTAATACTGTTAGTAGTGGTAGAAGAAGTAGAAGCAGTAGTAGTAATATTTAAGGTTGTTTTCATTACTAGCTAATTCAGTTTAAGAAAATACTTTGCTCTTCCTCTTCTTCTCTGAGTCCATACATTATCCTAATATGAGATTTCACTTTGTAGGGCTTATCTGCAATTTAGTCTTAATATTGTTCTTGTTTAGAGTTTAAAGGAAGATGAATTTTAGAATTCAGTTGTGTGCAGTACAACAGAAGGACTTCTAGAAGAATTTGTTTTCCTAACTTGCAGCTCGTTAAACAGTTATTTTCTCTTCACTCCAATGTCTTCATAAATTTATTCCTGAGAAAAAAATGAATGTGCTTAAAGGGCTCTCTCGAAACCTCTCCAGTCATTTTGAATGGGACAGGAAATGCACACATATACACAGAAATACATGCATACATACATACATACATAAATTCACAGGTGAACTAAAAGTGTGTGTAAATAATAACATCATCTTTGGAAAGAAAGTAAATTGAGCGGGCAAGGAAAGGAATATTGAACTCATAAGTATTGGCTTAGATATTATTTATAAGCATCTACATAATGAATAACATCTGTATTCTTCAACTAATAGGGCCAGTACATCGATGTATTGTACTTTCTACACAAAGTAGAACTCAGTTTGCAATAAGTGGACAATTCTTGATCCATCATACATTTTAAAATTTCTGGAATAAAACTGACAGACCATCTCTTTTTTTCCCATATAAAGTAGGGCATCACTATGAGTTTCCATGTGGAAAAGAAAAAGCTGGTTGCAGCGGCAAATGTAACTGTGACATAGGTGCCATCATTAAAGAAATCTCCCCTCCTGGGGGAGGTTGGCACATGAACCTATGAGTCATAACTATCATCATTGTCTTGTTGAGGAGAAGTACTTATAAAGACCTTAGAAACAAACATCTGTTATTCTTTCATTACCTAGTTCCTTTTTCATTACCTATGTAACCCAGATGTAATGCACATGTCTGCTGCCTGGATTGCTTCATGTCCTCCAGTGCGCCAGGGTCAACTTGTTCTCTAAAATATAATTTAAATGGACTCAAATTACGGTTTCACGTACAGGGAGTTCCCAGCATCTCTTCCAATATTTTTAGCAGTTGTAAGTGAAGCTTTTGTCTCTCCTGGACTCTTTGCTTCTGAGCCCCGCCTTATGCTGATTTCGTACAAGAATTAAAAATTTGAAATACCGTATACCACCCACATAATTTTTTTTAATCAAGTTGGGTAATACAAGTAGAAACACTTCAATAAGTATAAAGAACTACCTGGGAGTGGTGGGGTGAGGGGGTAATAATAATCTTACTAAATGAGAAAGTGAGGGGCTTCCCTGGTGGCACAGTGGTTAAGAATCTGCCTGCCAATGCACGGGACACGGGTTCGAGCCCTGGTCCAGGAAGATCCCACATGCCATGGGGCAACTAAGCCCGTGCGCCACAGCTACTGAGCCTGTGTGCCACAGCTACTGAAGCCTGCGTGCCTAGAGCCCATATTCCACTACAAGAGGGGCCACTGCCATGAGAAGCCCACGCACCACAGCGAAGAGTAGCCCCTGCTTGCTACAACTAGAGAAAACACACGCACAGCAATGAAGGCCCAATGCAGCCAAAATAAATAAATAAATATAAATTTTAAAATAAATAAATAAATGAGAAAGTGACATAAGGCGTTGTGAATGCTCCAGGGTAGACTTGAAGAGGAAAAACTGAAGATAGTGAAACAACATCTACTTATTTCATCTGGCTTAAAATAGAGAAAAAGTTGAAGTCCTGGCAAGATTTTGAAATAAAGTAGGATTGTCTGAGGGTTATAATAAGAAAGGAAATTTACCCATGAAACTTTAAAAGGGAACAGCAAAAGTTAGTCATGTGATTACAAGAACCCAAAAGAATATTTAACACCAAAAGAGAGAAGGGTCGCCAGAATGCTTTGAAGCTGGTTGAGCTAGTAATTACAAGGAACAACTTTCCTCGCCGTTTTTAAGACAGCAAATCCACATGGCCTTTGTCTCATTTTCTGGTAACTGCCACAGCTGTCCTTGAAGCGATAGTTGCCAGCAGGTGAATCAGCTGCTTCCACAGCCCTGTGTATGCATAGTATTCAGTCTGCTTGTTTCTTACATTACATTGTTTTTCCAAGAATTTGTTCCCAGCCTTACTTCAAAAACTGTTTTGAACATGATATTCAGTTTCCTAACTGCCCACATCACTTTCATGTGATCTAATCTTCAGACTACCTGGATGTACTGTACATCTTAGTCAGTTGGACTAAAGAAAATTCTGGTTAGTGAGGCTTTTTTTTTCCTTTGAGGGTAGGGTATAGTTCATTTATCTTGGGAACTTTTAAATGTATGTCACAAGTTTTATTCTACATCAGTAGAAATTCCATTCAGAAAAGATTGATCAGAAACTTAGAATACGTATTAGCTTTAAAGGAAAAGTTCAATGAGAATTTAAAACAAGGAAGTGTTAGTATATAAGATAGAATGTAGAATGACATAGCCAGCTCCACCTGCATTCCATGGCCCAGGTCACATGAGTAGGGGCCCTGACTGCGGCCTGCGCTTGTGGGTTTACCCTTTCAGCCCTGTCTCATTTGCAGTTGTTAGTGTTTGTTGCAGGAGAGTTGTCTGACCCCCTAACCCCTAAGAGAGGTGGTACACAAGGCAGAGAGTTTGTTGGAGGGAGACTGGGATGGAGTCACAGCTGGACAGGAGTGGGCGAGGGAAGCCCCTGCCGGACTGTAGTACCTGCGCAGGAGAGGAAGGCAGAAGGGGCTGCAGACAAGGCAGGCGCGCTGGGGGCCCAAGCCCTCCTCATTCATGATCTGGCCCCACGCTGACCAGGACAAACTTAGGGCACTCTCACCAGCCTGATGCTAATGAGAGGCCACGATTTGTAGGGCTCTGAAGAAACAGAGGGGAAAAGGGTTGCTTCAGGATTAGATAATTTTCCTGCCCCTTTCTCTGAAAGAATGGCCCAACATGGCCAAGTCACTGTACAAACAGGGAGAATTGCAGATGAGATTGTGAAGAGCTATGACACTTTGGGAATTCTCCCCCTCTTCCCAAAGCCACTGCACACATGCCTGGTTACTTCTAACCTCCCAGAGGTCCACTTTGCCCAATTTATTTTTTGACCAGGATCACACGGCATTCATTGAAGTCCTCCTTTCATATGTTTTCCTCTATAATAAAGGAAAGTTTTCAGGAAAGCACTTCAGATAGAGGTGAGAACCAAACATGGCCAGCCACCGGCAAGTGTAGATGTTGGAGAGCCAAAGCTATACGCCATAGCACTGTGTACAAAATGTTTATTATCCTAAAACAGCTCACAGTAGATTCGGTAATTATCCCCATTTTACAGCCTGAAATTGACTTGTGATGACATTTTTCAAGATAAAAAATAAAACACTGAAACCCGTGTGACTTCCTTTGTCAGTGTCTGTGTTTGTCTAACCTGCTTTAAGCCAGCCTGTGGCAGTGAATCCATAATTCAGGTGAAAATAAATCAGCTCAATAACAAAAAAACAAACAACCCAATCCAAAAATTGGCAGAAGACCTAAACAGACATTTCTCCAAAGATATACAGATTGCCAACAAACACATGAAAGAATGCTCAACATCATTAATCATTAGAGAAATGCAAATCAAAACTACAATGAGATACATTGTATCTCACACCAGTCAGAATGGCCATCATCAAAAAATCTAGAAACAATAAATGCTGGAGAGGGTGTGGAGAAAAGGGAACACTCCTGCACTGCTGGTGGGAATGTGAATTGGTACAGCCACTATGCAGAACAGTATGGAGGTTCCTTAAAAAACTATAAATAGAACTACCATATGACCCAGCAATCCCACTACTGGTCATATACCCTGAGAAAACCATAATTCAAAGAGAGTCATGTACCAAAATGTTCACTGCAGCTCTATTTACAATAGCCTGGAGATGGAAACAACCTAAGTGCCCATCATCAGATGAATGGATAAAGAAGATGTGGCACATATATACAATGGAATATTACTCAGCCATAAAAAGAAACGAAATTGAGCTATTTGTAATGAGGTGGATAGACCTAGAGTCTGTCATACAGAGTGAAGTAAGTCAGAAAGAGAAAGACAAATACCATATGCTAACACATATATATGGAATTTAAGAAAAAAAAGTGTCATGAAGAACCTAGGGGTAAGACAGGAATAAAGACACAAACTTACTAGAGAATGGACTTGAGGATATGGGGAGGGGGAAGGGTGAGCTGTGACAAAGCGAGAGAGAGGCATGGACATATATACACTACCAAACGTAAGGTAGATAGCTAGTGGGAAGCAGCCGCATAGCACAGGGAGATGAGCTCAGTGCTTTGTGACCGCCTGGAGGGGTGGGATAGGGAGGGTGGGAGGGAGGGAGACGCAAGAGGGAAGAGATATGGTAACATATGTATATGTATAACTGATTCACTTCGTTATAAAGCAGAAACTAACACACCATTGTAAAGCAATTATACCCCAATAAAGATGTTAAAAAAATTAAATTAAATTAAATTTTAAAAAAAAGAAATCATTTAAAGCCAATGTACATAAAAACAAGTAGCCAACATGACCCCTATTTTTAGTGCAGAAATATATTCAAGATCAAAGCCATTAATGTTTGCCTGTTTTATTTAATCACATAACTTTTACCTGGAAGATGTGGGTCTTATGGCATACAAATGAGTGTACAGGAAAGGATTCAGGCTTTATGCTGTCCAAATTAAATTCTAAAAGCCAGAAAATTCATCATTCTGACATCTCTTTGCAGATGCAGAATGTGTGTTGAAATATCTCTTGAAATGTGTCTTGTTTACTTGAGGAATACATTTAGCAGATCATATTAATTAGAAATAATATCTGAGTAAAGTCTTTAATAACGTATCTCTTTTTAAACATAAATCAAAGGGACTGATTTCCCAAGTTGCAAGAATGGGTGTTTCCCCTGATTACCTATAGTTTGGATTTTGAGGTTTTCTTCTTAATAAGTTATATTTTTTTCCTTGCGTTATCAGCATCCATTGTTTTTGGCTATATTGCAATCTAGGTTTGCAGATATTATGTATTAAAAAATGGCGAAGTTGGGGAAAATATTTCACAAGAGACATTCTCTACTATTAAGATTTCTTGTAAAGTATTATTGCCATTGTAAGTTGTAGGAGGTTTGTCCTCTATAAGAATACCTCAGAAGCACAATTTTAGATACTGAGAACCTATTTAACAGTCCTCCATTTGGAGATTTTTTTGTGAAAGATTTTATATGAACAAGATGATTTTTATAACCCGTGAGTAAAATCTTCCAATTACATCTCTAAAACCATTTTCCGTGGAATTTCAGTATTACCAAAATATATAAATAATGTTAAGTTTACCTTAAACCTCATTGATCTAAATAAACTCCAGTAATAATGGATACAGTTATGCAGTATAGCTTCTAAATGGAAAATTGTCATCATTTTCAAGAGAATGAATGGCTCTAGGGAAATGTACAGCTTAGGAATGACAAAACTGTCATCCAAGCAGAGAACAAAATTGTGGAAATTACAGAGTTGAGCCCTGGGAATCCTCAAATTTGCCTTTAAACAATACCTTCTTCAAACTAGTGGTTACCAGTGGGGAGAGGGAAAGGGGAAAGGCAACATAGGGGTAGAACTATTAGGTATAAAAGAGGTAGGAACTAAGAGGTTACACTATTAGGTATAACATAAGCTACAAGAGAATATTGTACAACACAGGGAATATAGCCAATATTTTATAACAACTATAATTGGAGTATAATCTTTAAAAATTGTGAATCACTGTATCGTACATCTGTAACTTACATAATATTGTATAACAACTATACTTAAATAAAAAAATTTAAAAGATAAAAGAAAACAATTACCTTCCCTCATGTGGTCCCTAGTGAAACCGTGGTCTCATTAGACGAAGAAGACAGAGCTGGAAAAGCAAATATGCATCTCTGAAATTTGTTTGGCCGTAACCTTTTTTGAAGTTTTCTGAGCACCTCAGGATATGCATGTTCCATGGAACCTACTTTGTGAAGCAGTGGGTTAGATTTAGTCATGTAGCCTCTACTCAAACAGAGCTCCAATTTGGCAAGCCAGAAAGCTGCTTTTGCCAAAGAGCTAGTATAAAGCGGTGATGTAATGCATGGTGCATTTAGAAATGTTTGTGTTGAAGCTGAGTAATCTCTTCTCTTGTCTCTTCCAGGTGTTTCATCCCAAACATCTATGCAGCTCTGTTCAGTGCAGCTCTTGTTCCGTTAATGTGCCTCGTGGTAGTATTTGTGGTGTTCATCCATGCCTACCAGGTGAAGCCACAGTGGAAAGCATATGATGATGTCTTCAGAGGAAGAACAAATGCTGCAGGTTTGAAAGAAACTGTATTTGTATTTTAAGATGGGGACTTTTAATGGAGGGAAAAGGTCACTGAATATTCTTTATCAAGAAAAGGAGTGAGGGCTTCCCTGGTGGCGCAGTGGTTGAGAGTCCGCCTGCCAATGCAGGGGACACGGGTTCGTGCCCCGGTCCGGGAAGATCCCACATGCCGCGGAGAGGCTGGGCCCGTGAGCCATGGCCGCTGAGCCTGTGCGTCCGGAGCCTGTGCTCCGCAATGGGAGAGGCCACAGCAGTGAGAGGCCCGTGTACCGCAAAAAAAAAAAAAAAGAAAGAAAGAAAAGGAGTGAGGTTTGACTTAGCTTTCAGCTCTGAAGCCATAAGTTAAATTATAGTTCTCCAATTTCTCCCACTCCTTGGGACTTCCTGACATCTCTCTTTCTTCAGGGCTCTGTAGGTTTTATTCTGATGCCAGTTTTGTCCCTGAGATATTAATATTCAAGTAAGTGACTCACAGCCTTTGGGAGCTGCTTCCCCAAGTGTTCTTCAACTCAAGCAGTAACAACCTGTGTTCAACTTGTGAAATCTGTTCATTTCTTTCAGATTCTGAGACTTCTTCACAAACCTCCATAATGCTTGGGAGTGCTGTATTTTGCATGTGGAGTTCTGACTGTGCTGACAAATGTTTAAAAACATATGTGACCAGACAGCTTCATAAGTGGCTACACATGTCTGGTTACTTAAGAGTACAGTCTTTCCAGCTCAAATTGGCTTTCACTACAGCTCATTTTTTCCCTTTGAATCATACTTAACACAGGTTTTTATGATGTGTTTCTTTTTCTGTTGTTAGATTAGCGTCTCTTAGGAATTTTTTTAAGGAACAATAACCAAACACCTTCATACAGAAAAGTCACTCTAAAATGGTTTGAGTGATATTAGGGAGAATCTAATGAGCTGGGGGTGGCGGAATCCCACTTGGGCCAAGAGGAAGACTAGTCTTTTCTAAGCTTTTGAAAGCCAAATGAATGGAGAAGTTCTTCACTTTTTAAGTGCTTTTCAGAGTTTAAGCAAGATACCATATATGAAGTCCCTAGAATACATAATATAATAATGTCTAATACATTATTAGAGACTCAATAGATATTGTCATTTATAGGCTAATAAAAGGATTCATTCTAATATAAGAAAAGCCTGTAGTTCCTAAACTGTGTAAGGGAAGATGCAAAACGATTTTCCTTGTTGTGTAAAAAGAAGGGACTCTTGGGCTTCCCTGGTGGCACAGTGGTTGAGAGTCCGCCTGCCGATTCAAGGGACACGGGTTCGTGCCCCGGTCCGGGAAGATCCCACATGCCGCGGAGCGGCTGGGCGCGTGAGCCATGGCCGCTGAGCCTGCACGTCCAGAGCCTGTGCTCCGCAACGGGAGAGGCCCCAGCAGTGAGAGGCCCACGTACTGCAAAAACAAAACAAAACAAAACAAAAAACAAAACAAAAAGAAGGGACTCTTTTATACTAGTCTGTGGGGTAGTTTGTAGATAGTTGTATCTAGCCAACTCTTCCCTCTTCTGTCTCATTTAGCATGCAATTATTATGTGGGAAGAAATATTATTTAAGGTTATGATTAATCTTAGATTCTTCAGTTAAAAAAGCAATACTCAATGTAGAAATCCACCTTTTTCACGGGATATAGAATTTATCTAGAAGCTCTGCTTTTATTCAACTTAAGATTCATTTTATTAAAATGCATATTCTCTTTCGAAGGAAAAGTTTGTTTCTTTCCCCAAATAACCAGATTTATTTTGTTCTGTATATTATGTAAAAGTGCCAATGTTTGCATGTTTTCAATAATGATAACATCATAAGGGCCTAACCTAACGAGTTAGTCCTTTCATGCCTGAATCACCCCTGTGCCTTTTTGGATATGATCCATCATGGATACAGTAGATAAACAATGCTCTGATTATCTGAAAAACAGCCCTCAAGCATTGAACATAATGCTAAAAGCCCTAGCACACTTCTATCTCAACTAGCGAAACCTCTCTTGCAATGAAATATTAATAGAAACATTGCTCTTATTGTAGCTTTTCAAATAAAAACAATTATGGCAGTTCTGATTCCCCTATTCCCACTCAATCTAATAGTCATTATCTCACTTGGACTCTTACAGTGTTTTCCTGATAGGTCACTAGTTCTAGTTCTTCTCCAGTATCATTTTCTCAGATGTCTATATTTCAACAAAGTGGCTCCCCTCACTCTCTAGCTTTACAGTCATTCGAAGTCTCTCTCATTGCCCAGAAGAAAGTTCAGTCTTTTTATAACACAAGAGTCTCTATAAGTCCACCCCTGGGCCATCTTTTCGTCCCCAAGTTAGTTACCATTCAGCCTGCATTCTGACCATGCCATCAATTTACTCCTCTTACTCGTTCTTTTTTTTTAATAAATTTTATTTATTTATTTATTTATTTTTGGCTGTGTTGGGTCTTCATTACTGTGTACAGGCTTCCTCTAGCTGCAACGAGTGGGTGCTACTCTTCGTTGCAGTGCACGGGCTTCTCTTGTTGTGGAGCATGGGCTCTAGGCATGCGGGCTCAGTAGTTGCAGCACGTGGGCTCACTAGTTGTGGCTCGTGGGCTCTAGATTGCAGGCTCCCTAGTTGTGGCGCACGGGCTTAGTTGCTCCACGGCATGTGGGATCTTCCCAGACCAGGGCTTGAACCCATGTCTCCTGCACTGGCAGGTGGGTTCTCAACCACTGTGCCACCAGGGAAGCCCCTACTCTTACTCATCCTTAAAATTGCCTGATACTGTCATCTTTGCTCATGTAAGGCGCCCTCTATGAACTCCTCATCATCAGTTGATAAAACTCATGTGTTTAGTAAGTAATGTGAGAAAATGTGGATGAAAGAGAGGTGGAAGGTGCTTATTACCCTTCCATAATCTTCATTATCTCCCCAAAGCTGTCCTAAAGAAACCCATAATCTAAGTAAAAGAAGTGTGCTGAACAAACACAAGTTAATCCCTAGGAAGCCCTTCCAGCAAGATACTGCTCACTCTTTTATAGAAATCTTGGAAGCTCCCAACATGCTACCTCTTCTGTGACGCCTTTGGAATTCCCTCTTTACAGAGCCACACCAAATAAGCATTACTCATTCCTTCTTCTATGCTTTTAAAGCACTTTGTTCCTACAGCCATTACAGCACTTAGCATTTATTTCAGAATTAAATGGTGACTTGTTTTGGTGTGTGTGGCTGATTTCCTTAATAAATTATGAATTCCTTGAGGGTAAGGACCATTTATTATTCATCTCTGTATCACCAGAGCCTGGTAGAGTGCTCAGTAGATAGCAGGAGCATAATTAATATTTGTTGACTAAATGAATAAATTAATAATCATCAATGCACCATAAAATCTTATGATTATGGGAATGGATCCCAAAGCTAAATATAGCTTTAAGAAGAAAAGGAATCTGTCATATCATCAGAAGTAGAAATTATGGAATTTATCTCATTGATCTGTTTGTAGGTATCCCTTTAAAAGTTATTATTAGGACTATCATTTTTGCCTTGACTTCTCTGATTCCCAAAACTATGTGTTCAGCTTTGACCTCTAAGCTGATATCTTACATTTTATTTGAAACCTCCTTTAACTCTCTTCCATCTGAACATGTGCCACATACCTCAAATTCAAATGTTCAAGAAAAAAAAATGTCAATCTACTCTACCAAGGAGCATTTGATACTCTCTTTGAATCTGTCTACTAGAATTCCATTTCATTGACCTGAAAAATATCCAGTCCAGAAGGACTGTAAATTCATGTTTTGCCCATTTCCCTGCTCCATATACATAGCAGTTAATGACAAGATATAACAAGAGAAAATTAAAAAGAAGATGAATTGTGGATCAGAAAGAGCAGAAGCACAAAGTATAAGCTGGGCTACTGTCAAGGACCTGATGTTTTCTGGGTCCATAAGCCTGTGAATGCAGGAGTATCTCAACTGCTGTGGTGGTAAGTTGGGAATTAAAGGTCTCACCCAAGGCCGGTAGACTGGAGCAGTAGCACCTGTAGGAAAGGAACCTGAAAAAGAGCTGCCATAGTAGCTTGGGCTTTGGCTGAGGGATCTGGGAGCCCAAAGAGAAAGCAGAGGAAGCATCTCACCAAGTTCCTGGGCCAAAATCTCTAGAGTTCACAGAGTTTATCTGCCATATTCATATGTATATGTCATTATGGGGACAGAAGACCCATGACACCAAACTAGTCCTTTTTGGACTGAAGGGTTAAGTGGAGGCCACCACAAAACCATTAGACAGAAAAAGGTAGCCAGAGAGAAAGACAGAGAGTGAGTGAGAGAGAGAGAGAGAGAGAGAGAGAGAGAGAGAGAGAACAAGCAAGGAAGCAAATGCTTTCTACTCAAGATTAGCTGCAATATAAAAGTCCCAAACATTGGAGGAAAACTAACAAAGTTAGCCCTTAAAATCAGCAAAGAGATGAATTTAACATAGAAAAAAATATAAAAATAGAATAAACTATAAATAACTTTCTCAAGTTATTTAGGTTCCTCAAAAATATAAAGTAGGAATCATCAAACTATGGCCCTGCCAGCCACTTACCTGTTTCCTCATTTTATCTATTTATTTTTTTAACAGCTTCATTGAGATATAGTTTACATCCCGTAAAGTTCATCTGTTTAAATTGTACAGTTCATTGGTCTTTATTATATTTATATAGTTGTGTAACTATCGCCATAATCTAATTTTAGAATA